TAGACCTTGTTTCCCACCACAGCAGTGTGCCCTCCGTCGTCGATCTGCAAACCCGGGCTCCGAACAGAGATCTTGCGGCTCCACTCACTAGTCTCCGACGAGTAGGCAGTGGCGAGGGCAATGCCTCCTTCCTCCGCAGAGCCCACCAAGGCCACCAGGAAAGGGCCGCCGCCATGGCAGTCGAGGTGGTCGCACCGGTCTCTGGCGCAGAGCACCGTGGCATTGCAGTGTAGCACGCCCTCGTAGATGTCCTCCCAGTGCATGGTGCCGCGGCACTTGGGGAAGGCCTCGATCTCCCACAACTTGTTGGCGACGAGGTCGCAGGCGTCAAAGGGGAGTTCGTACGCGGGGGCGTAGAGTAGGACGAGGCCGTGCCGGGAGTCGAGGACCTGGCAGTCTGGGCGGTCCTGGGACGCCCGCCGGCGGAAGGTCGAAGTGGGGACGAAGCGGTTGCCGTTGCGGTACGCGTTGTGGAGGAAGCCCAGCATGGGCGGCGCCCCGTGGAACGCGCGGTAGCCGCGGGCGAAGCCGGGGTCGGAGAAGATGCCGCGCCAGCTCCTGCAGACGGCGGCGGCGCGGACGAGGCTCCTGGGGTCGTCCGCCGGCAGGCGCGTGAAGACCTCGCGCATGGCGTCGTCGACCAGCGCCGGCGGCCTCATCGCCATCGCCATGGGGGTGGCGAGCAGGGGGCGTGGAGGTCGCGAGGATTGCCCGTCGGCCGTCGGGGTCAGGGATGGGGGCGGAGTCGTGGCGACGGCCGAGTCGGGGCGACCTGGTTCTAGCCGTCAAGGCGTCTCTAATTGGGCCGGGCTGGCTTTGTACAGAACGTCTGGGCTGGGATGAATTCGGCTTCTTCGGTTAACCTGTCTTAAGCACTCTTGCCTAAAAAAAGAACTGTGTTAAGCACTCAAAATAAAAAAAAGGTTAACCTGTGTTTTTTTACACCTAAAAAAATCTGTGTTTTTTAACTAAAAACCTCCTCTTTATTCATTTATAATAAGTGTTGCATCGGTTACAAGAAGAGCTGTGATTGAAACCGGAGCTTCATTCATCCAAACACTAGAACCACAGAACCTTTTTAATCTAGCCAGTTCATGGGTCACCGAGTTAGCCTCTCTAGGACAATGCTCGAAAAAATATATGAGGAAATCCGCATGACATGTCATAACAGTCGTCAAAAATTGAAGCCGAAGCCCATGCAGAGTTTGCACCTTCTTTTGTTATGGTAATCAACTCCAGATTGTCAGAATTAACCACCAATTTGTTGCATCCAATGGATTGTGCCAAAGTTAGTCCAGACTTTAAAGCCTGAACCTCCACGGAAAGGAACATCTGAGCACCAATCTATACGACTATTTCCAGCAGCTATAAACTTTCTTGACTTGTCACAGATGATAGCACCCGTTGTACCTTTGAGCATCTCATCATCGAAGCCCACATAAATGTTTAGTTTCACATATCCACTTAGAGGAGGAACCCACCCCCCTCGTTTAATTGTTGCTCTAGGTTCAAAAAATCTTCCGATTCAGCCTTTTATCGTTTGATTTATTGCTACTCTTGGGGTGACTGATAAGATTATGCCTTATCTTTACCGTTTATCGTTTGGGCCAATTTATCGCTATGACAAGCGATTTATCGAGAATGTACAGATAAATCGGACCTATTCATAGCACTATGTTTGCAAAAACTATGTTTATTTGCGTTTTGTGGTCCTTGTTATGCAATATGTACCGTTGTCCTATCTTGCTTGTCATTGTATGAGGATTCAAAGGCTAGGAATAAAGGTAACACTTCTGTCTAATATTCTTTTGGTGTTGAATATAGCATATTTTAGTGTTGGGAACCTAAGATTTGCAAAAAAAAAACCGATTAATAGTTGACCGATAATATAGCATATTTAGCATGACGATACTTTGTTGTCATCTCTAATCGGAAAAAGGGAGGCCACTATAGCGCTAATGCTAGCGGTCAACTATTCGAGCTTCTTGTAGCGCGTCTGTATCGCTAAGAGTTTTTTTTTAATTCATAATTTTTTTTCAAATCACGTTCAGATTTCAAATTCGTGATTTTTTAAAAAAAATCATGATTTTTTAAATATTTTCAAATTCATGAACTATTTCCAAATTCATGAACATATTCTCACTGAAATTTTCAAATCTCGTACTGAACAATTTCAAGAATTTATAAAACGTGAACAATTTTCAAATCTTGTCCACTGAACAATTTTCAAATTCAGGAACATATTTCACTGGACATTTTTTCAAATCCCGTTCCCCGAATAAGTTTCAGATTCACGTACATTTTTCACTAAACAATTTTTTATTTGAAACAAGCGAACGATTCTTAAGTCCTTCAACAAAGTTACAAACATTTTTAAATCTCGTTCAGAGGATAATTTTTGAATTCCTGAACAATTTTTTAAAAGCATGAACAAATTTAAAATTAGAATATTTTCTGAAAAAGTGAATAAAATTTGTAATTTCAAACAAATTTTGAAGACTTTGAACTTTTTCGAAATTTGTGAATATTTCAAAAATAAAAAAGAGAAGAATAGAAAAAAAATGGAAAAATCTTCTCATACATGGATACATTCTTTTTACATTGGCAGTTTCCAGAGAAGTAAGTTCAGATCTGATTTTAACAGATTCAAAATCTTTATTGATATGCCAACATGATGATCTCTCTGCTCTACCGTAAGAAGAGCACACATGTCATCCTCAAAATGAGAACCTAATTGTTTCAACATGGACCCTGCTAGATCACTGCAGAAATGCAACACTTTTGGCGCCTTTCCAATGGTGTGAACTTTTATTTGCTGTACCAGATAAAAGCTTAACTCTCAGAGATATCATATAACTCCCAGAGGTTTTTCTTGAAAAGATGCATCATTAATTTACGAGAATGGTCGATCGGACCAATGATCTGCTGTTCAGTCTATGGATCGAAAGAGGAAAGCAATCTGTGGAACAGACCCAAATCGGAACTCAGTTGAGATAGAATTGGTTTGAGGGAGAGGTAAAGTGTGCTTTTGACCGTAAACAAAGTCGCCCTCACAAAAAAAATATTGGTAGTACTTGTTTACAGATTACTAGAAACTTTGTTAATGGCCTACTTCTGTTGCAAATCATCTATGTAGTTTCTTTGAACTTGTTTTAATAGCCAGAAGATGCACCTCCACTTCTGACGTTGGACCATATGCACTATCTGAACCAATACAACTTGATTCTGTGTAGTTATTGGGTACAGAGAATATGCTGATAAAAGCCAATTTCCTTGATCAATTACCAATGCTTTGTTGAAACTGCTCAAATTTTTAATCGCAAGTAGTTAGGCATTTTACTAAGTGCTCTTCCTCATCTGAAATGTCACCACCTTTATCTTCTGGTTACACACATCAGAGGTTAAATCACTGCAGTATAATTTCGCTGTCTGAAGTTTGCTGCAATACTATAATATCAGCAGTTCACAGTTTGACCCGGTCTTGAATGTGAAGGGTGCCATCATTATCTTCAGAATCTTCTTCAGCAACATTCTTATATAATTTATAACTTCTTCTGCAGCTCTGCACATAAAGATATCGACACGGCTGTAACTTCTCTTCTTCTGTAGTTAAACAACTCTCGTCATGGTCCTAGCAGTTTACTTCTCTGTAATTTTTTTTTTGCGAGTTACTTCTCTGTAATGTAGTGTAATGAGGCTGCAGTTGCCTAGTCAAACGGGGCACTAGATAGAAGTCTACTAGGACTGAGTTTGATGATGCAACTTTCCTTTGCCAATTATACCCTGCCGCCTTTGTGATAATTGTCGTCATTTAAAAATTGGTTCAATTGTTGTCTTGTTTTTGGTAGCATGATCAGAGGCAGCAAATTAAGAAAAATGTGATTCATTTCTCACTACTTATAATGCCATTCTACCATCCAACAACAAGTATGTGTAGTTTCTAAGATGAATGGTGATTAAGAATGTGAGTGTGCGATAATATCGTATCCAACATAATTTGTGCACTTCCTCTTTGGCTTTGCATCTTCTTTGCTTCCCAATTTTCCCTTGTATAATACCCTCACCTATGTTTAGAATGATGTTTGGCCAATATAAATGGGTGTGTTGGGTTATCATCTGATACGAAAATCAGCGTTGATATGCTCTTTCTATCGGATGGACTGATTGTGCTTCTTTTGTTTTTGCTAGAAAAGTAACTGCGGAGGTTGGGAAAATGTTGATTGCCCAACCTTGAGGAAAAAGAGCCATTGCCAAAGTACTGGAAGATTTTTCGCCATTCAGGTGCTTCACCAGGTACAACCACTCATGTTTTTATTTTGTCACTAGTAGATTGGTTTGGATCTGGGTTCCTCAGTAGGCTAGATGGTGTAGGCCATGATCTATTTTCTGAAGAAGAGTGGGTCTCAATCATCTGATTACTTCTCGGCTTACTACAACACAAGGTACGACATTTTACGCCATCTGAGCAGCTGCAACAGGCGGTTTTATGGAGATCTTACAGTAATGGTGTTTAATGGTCATGTATGGGATGGACATGGAACAGGAATACAGTGTTGAGGAAAAACCACGACGACTCCGGTGCGCCACCAATGAAGGTTAATGGATTCACACTACACTGGTGAGTTTGAGGCACCAGAGCCTGCAATGCAATGCTGTGATGTTGATGTGTTGTTGTTATCACTGGTTACACTGCTTTCTTGTACTATTAGCAGTTTCTTGCTACTCCCTCCGTTCCCTTTTATAAGTTGTTTCAGACAATTGAAATTTGGCTGTTTTGCATACTCCTAAAACACGAAGACAGAAGTTTTTTTTTTTCCGAAAAGGAGGATGACCCCCGACACCCGGAGACACAAAGACAGAGGTAGCAGATACAAAGAGAGCTCTTGTTCTTGTAAATAACCCTAACCAAACCATCCAACGCAGCCATCAGCAGCAGCTCATCTTCAAAGTCTTTCTGGGAGGCAAAAGTAGAGAGATCCATCTTTCTTGACGCCATTTGGTTACATCATCGTACCACCAGCAACTGCGTGTGGGGCTTCATCGGAGCCCGGCAACCGGCCCCATGCTGCACCGTAACAAAGGATTGATCAGATAACATGACGAACAAAACAGGGAAAGGAGCGCACTTTGCCCCCTCAAAATCATTTCATCTTTAGCTGTCCATATCAACCAAACTATCGACGCGTTTGGTTCGGCCCGGGTAACGTATTCACTTTGCCGTAAACAAGACCCGCTGCTTCCGATTAATTTTTCGCAATACGCTGTTTGTTTGGTTGATGCGACCAGAGTCCTGATTTTCTAATCACCTCTGTATCGAGCGGTTTTGATTTTCTGAAACGCTGTATCGGAAAGCGCTGTTACGGAAAAAGTTGGCAGCGAAACAAACGCTAGCTGTGGTTTCGCAAATCGCTCTAATCGGAAGCCGCACATTTTTGGCCGAACCAAACACGTCGTATATATAGAAGATGTAATGCATCTGCGATTGGAGGTACACAACAACGAAAACTGCTAAGGGGTCCTGATTAGCAAAGCTTTGACTTAAGTTAACTAACTCTTGAGCATAACCAGCAAAAACCATATATACTAGAGCATCCAAACAAAAACATACAGGATAAAGCCCCTACTACACATTCACCATTGAGTTCTCTGGTCAGCTGCCTACTTAATCAGCACCAACTACTCTTTCTTTCCTCTGGCTTGTATCAACATCAAAAGACGGCATGACAGGAAAAATAACAGACTAATCGTGGTTGCCTACAATAAGCCAACTCTGCGGCATGACTCAACGTCAGAATAATGTAGCAGTACTGCATATCTAGAGACAGAAAACCAGAGAAGGCGAGCACCTGGATACAAATATATATCTACCTAAGCAGAAAATGAGAAGAATAAAGCAACATATTCATCAACTTATTTGGGCACTCTTGAACTTATTAAACTACTCAACAATGTAAGCCACAAGCAAAAACACTGAAATTCTAGTCAATGGCATGTTTAGCATTCATATCTTGGTGCACGTGTTTGAAAAAACAGTACGAGATAATCTGTATGTACCTCCAATGCAGAACCTTGTGTAGGGCATGACCTTTTCAATGCTAAATTCACCCATCTTGTTGGCTCGGCCTGAATTAAGCTCAACTGCGTACAACCCAGCCGGAGTTCTGAGGAAGATTACCCTAACTCCTTCAGCAAAACCAACCGTCCACACATCCGAGCTCGACATGTCCAAGAGGGCACGAGGAGGGAGCAACGGCTCGAGCTCGACGACCCTGCGCCGTGCCCATGCCGCAGCTCCTCTAGGACCAGCCTCCATTGACCATAGATAGAGTCTAGGCTTGCGCACTGACGCAAACAGCAGCATGCCATCCTCCACACCCAGGAGGTCAAGGTATCCCTGGTCCAGGATCTCTGGCGCCTTGATCACAGACAGTTGTTGCTCACGAATGCTGTACTCCACGACACTGTCACCCTCATAATTGGGGACATAGACCTTATTATTTCCCACCACAGCAGTGCGCCCTCCGGTATCGATTTGAAGACCCGGGGTCTGAACGGAGATCATGTCGCTCCACTGACGAGTCTCCGACGAGTAGACAGTGGCGAGGGTAATGCTTCCTTCATCCGCAGAGCCCACCAGGGCCACGAGGAAAGGGCCACCATGGCAGTCGAGGTGGTCACATCGGTCTATGGCGCAGAACACCGTGGCATTACAGTGTATGCTGCCGTTGTAATAGTCGTCGGGGTCGTCGCCTGGCCAGTGCATGATGTCGTGGCACTTGGGGTCGTCGTCGATCTCCCGCCAGTTGTCGGTGACGAGGTCGCAGACATCAAACGGGGCATGGTACCCAGGGGCGTAGAGGAGGGTGAGGCCGTGCCGGGAATCAAGAACGTGGCAGTCCCGGTGGTCATGGGATGCCGGCCGGCGGAAGGTCGAGGTGGAGACAAAGCGGTTGCCCCTGCGGTATTCGTTGTGGAGGAAGCCCAGCATGGGCGGCGCCCCGTGGAGAGCGCGGTAGCCGCGGGCGAAGCCGGGGTCGGAGAGGATGGCGCGCCAGCCCCTGCAGACGGCGGCGGCGCGGATGAGGCTCATGGGGTCGTCCGCCAGCAGGCGCATGAAGACCGCGCGCATGGCATCGTCAACCAGCGCCGGCGGACTCAGCGGCATCGCCATGGGGGTGATGACCTTTTCAATGCCCTGTTCATCATGCACCTTGTTGACTAGTCTGTATGTACCTCCAGTGCAGAACCTCGCGTAGGGCATGACCTTTTCAATGCTAAATTCACCCACCTTGTTGGCTCGGCCTGAATTAAGCTCAACTGCATAACACCCAGCCGGTGTTCTGAGGAAGATGACCCTAACTCCTTCCGCGAAACCAACCGTCCACACGTCCGAGCTCGACATGTCCAAGAGGGCACGACGAGGGAGCAACGGCTCAAGCTCAACGACCCTGCGTCGCGCCCATGCCGCAGCTCCTCTAGGACCAGCCTCCATTGACAATAGATAGAGTCTAGGCTTGAGCACGGACGCAAACAGCAGCATGCCGTCCTCCACACCGATGAGGTAAAGGAATCCTTGGCCCAGGCTCTCTGGCACATTGATCACAGATAGTTGTTGCTCACGAATGTTGAACTCCACGACACTGTCACACTCATAACTGGGGACATAGACCATATCTCCCACCACAGCAGTGTGCCCTCCGTCATCGATGCGCAAACCAGGACTCTGAACAGAGATCATGTGGCTCCACTGACGAGTCTCCGACGAGTAGACAGTGGCGAGGGCAATGCCTCCTTCCTCCACAGAGCCCACCAAGGCCACGAGGAAAGGGCCGCCATGGCAGTCGAGGTGGTCACACCGATCTTTGGCGCAGAGCACCGTGGCATTACAGCGCATCCCAGTCCCGCTGAAGAAGTCGTCGGGGCCGTCGCCCGGCCAGTGCATGATGTCGCGGCACTTGGGGTCGTCGTCGATGTCCCACCAGTCGCCGGTGACGAGGTCGCGGGCTTCAAGAGGGGGGTCGTATGCAGGAGCGTAGAGGAGGACGAGGCCGTGCCGGGAGTCGAGGACCTGGCAGTCTGGGCGGTCCTGCGACGCCCGCCGGCGGAAGGTCGAAGTGGGGACGAAGCGGTTGCCCCTGCGGTACTCGTTGTGGAGGAAGCCGAGCATGGGCGGCGCCCCGTGGAGCGCGCGGTAGCCGTGGGCGAAGCCGGGGTCGGAGAGGATGGCGCGCCAGCTCCTGCAGACGGCGGCGGCGCGGACGAGGCTCCTCGGGTCGTCCGCCGGCAGGCGCGTGAAGACCGCGCGCATGGCGTCGTCGACCGGCGCCGGCGGCCTCATCGCCATGGGGGTGGCGGGCGCCGAGCGAGCAGGGGGGGGCGTGGAGATCGGGATGATGGCCCGTCGGCCGTCGGGAGTTGGGGAGGGATGGGGAAAAAGATGCGGTTGCGGCGGCTTGAGTCGGGGGTGGGGGCGTGACCTAGGCTTAGCAGTCCAGTCCAGACATCTCTAATTGGGCCGGGAGGGCTTGTACTCAACATCTGGGCCGGGATGAATTCGGCTTCTTCGGTTTAACCTGTTAAGAAAATCACCAAAAAAAAACCTGTTAAGAAAAAGGGTTTCCCCCGCTTTGTATTACAAAGCAACCATCGATACAACTAATGATAGGTGCTGGGGCGAAAGCAGCACAATCAGGCCCAAAAGGAAAGAAAGAGAAAAAAGAAAAGAAACAAATGCCGATAACGGCGGATCGACAAAAACGACGAAGCCTCGCGACCGCTGCGTCCACCAGAAATCACCCCCCAAGCTCCGAGACTCCGAAGCGCCGGTACCCATCACCACCTTCAAGAAGGGACGCGACGATGACGACGCTGCTGCCAAGGGTTTCCCCCAGTACGCGGTGAGGAGAGAGGAAGGGTAGCCCCGACGCCCTCCAGGAAGGTCCGCTGGTACCCTCAGGCGCCACCGCGTCGGTGTCGGCCAAGCCAACAGGGATTTCTCCCGATCCCATCCTCCACCTCAGGCACTCTGGAGCTCGCCACCAAACCGACCACCACCCTGCGCCAACAAGGACACGAAGCTTCCCACACTGTCTCACCACGGCACCGCGAAGATGGCTTGCACAACAAAGAAGGGGAGCCGGGACTAGGGCAGCAGCACCGTCAGCATACTGGAGGGCCCCACCTCCACCGTCCACGACGGTAGCCGACCGGACGACAAAGCAGGAGCCTATCGGACCCGTGGCCCCACAGGCCCAGCCGGGCCCTTAGAGGCCCGGACAGCTCCCGGCTCCGCGCCTCAGCTGGCACGCCGCCGGCGTTGCTGCGCCCCGTCCGAGCTGCTTCGCCTCCTCACCACACAGACGACGACGAAGCCATGCCGGGGGCCGGCCCGCAAGGACCCAGATGGGGCCCGCAGGCCCCGATCTGGGTCGGGGGCGCGCCACCGGCCAACCTGCGCCACCACGCGTCACGCCGCCAAGGAGCCGCACCACCACCGCGCGTGCCGCCGGCCACCATAGCCAGGACGTCGGGTCGTTATCAAGCCGAGGAGCATCGCCGCCGCCCCCATGCCTTGGGCAAGGGCCGCGCCCGCGGGGACAGGAAGGCCCCGCCGCTGCCAACACC